TATACTGATTACCTTGATGTTTTAATTTTCATCTCTTAAAAGTTTCGTTTACGCTTTTGTTATTTTCCCATTATATTCGACTTACGATCTGATTTTATTTTCATCAGAGTATATTCGGATATAGGTACGGTTTTCTGCATATGCACAATAGATTTATTAGCGAACTATATTAATTTCCAGTAAAGATAGATATTAGCTGTGTTTAGAAGAAAAAATAGCTTTGCAACTGTTGTAAAATTCTTCAAAACGATTCGTTCTTGTTATTGTTTTTTTATGGATCTAAATATATAAATAAATTATATTGAAAAATCTTACAAGAATTTTACAGCAGTTGCAAAGCTATTTTCTCTACTGAACGTAGCTATTATGGTCCTCTTTAGCAAACTGACATTATTTTAATTTGTCGTTTTATTGATGCCAGATGACAACAAATAATACCAGCTTGTTACTTGAGGATTCTTTCTTTTTCTTTTTTTTATTTGTAATATAACACACTATGCAAAAAAATCATAAAGTACGTTATAATCAAATTACTTTTATATATTTTTCAGATTATGTGACAAATACAATTTAACTTGTAGAGGCCCTCCATCACCCCCGTCGACGGTTCTCTTTTTTTTTATTTCAGCAAGTTCACAAGTTATTTGTCGTAATTTTGATATCAAAACAATATTGAAAACATCATTTTAACGTCAAATGACGTCAGCTTGCTACTTCAATTCTTTCATTTTTCTTTTTTCTTTAACTTTTAAACAAATTGTACAAAAAAGTTATAAAATATGTTACACTTGAATTACGCATATACGTTTTTCATATCATTTGGTAAAACAAATTAATTTATAGAGGTCTTTCATCACATCCCCTGCCGTCCTCTCTCCTTTACAATATCATAAAATGGGATAATTTTTATCCAAAATTAGAATAAATTTAATAAATAAATTTTGACAATATAGCATGCAAAATCTGGACATATGACATCTTAAAAACGTAATCTTATGAAGAATCGAACTATTATCTTAAAGAAGTTTTAAGAATCTATATCATGATTTTGGATATATGTATTGCATATATATTTTTATAATTTGTGTCAAAGTTTCTGGGACGAAGGCTTTTATTCTGTAACTCTTAATGACATGTCGATGTCGTTATATAGTTTTTAGCGTATGTTAAATTTATATATAATTTATATTATATATATCTTTCAATAAAAAAGAATGTCAATTATTAACTATATATATGTAATTCATATCGAATAATTTTAAATTCTGCAACGCGTCTTCTATAATTATTATTTCTTTATATGATAATAAAAAAAAATGTTATTTAATAACTATTAAATGTGTTGCAATATCGCATCTATGATTTAAATAATATAATGGAATGAACCAAATGATTTAATCGCACGTATATAAATTCTATTTCTGACTTTACTTTCAACAAAGACTAACTTTATGAGTCTCCCCTCTAAAATTCTAAAAAAATCGCGAGGAAACACTGCGTTAAATAGAAAATAATTAGTCCAATAATGAAACCAGGTCTTTCCGAAATGTTGAATAGTAGAACAGAAAGAAGAATCTCTATGGAGAGGGAACTGTGTTCTGCTTCTTGTCAAGTTTCACGTCATCAACGCGAAAGAAAGTTAAGTGATTCGTTAAACACTAAGAACTCCGTTGCAGAAGGAAACCAATTCCAAATTTTTCGGACTGTTCTTATAATAGCACTCATCTTGGCAACGAATTAACAATTGTTTCCTAAAAACTTCAAAACAAAAATTTTTACAAATAATGCAAATTATTATGCAATTATCGAATATTTTAATGATAACTTAATCGGTATTAATCACAATTAGTACGCAAGATCAAGATTACACGCAAAAATATATTCTTTATATTATTACAAAAACACAGTATAATATACAAAAATACAGTATAATATCTACAGTAATAAAATAAAAAAACATGAATAGAATAATATTTTAATTTATCGAAGGATAGTTAATGATTATATTTCAAAGTAATAAAATATATACATAATTATAACTTATATGTGTACAAAAATTCTCAGATACCAACTGTTCAAGACAAATCGAACCAATGAGATTTAAATTTTATTCATCTTATTTTGATTTTATAATCGAATATTATTAATATAAAATTTATTTTAATCTTTTTTTTTGCAGCAGTTACTCAAATGTAGTCAAGTAATTAAGGATTACCTAAATTAATAATTCATGTAATATTTAGATAATTAGAGCTAAATCAAAATCTTGATGATTACCCAATCGATTCGTCTTGAATTTTTAAGTAAGCACATTTTTAATTACGTCCATTGTATTATTACAATAAATTATTTACATAAACATGAATTTTTTTGATAAAATTTTATCAGATAAATATTTCTTACATAATATATAGACTGCGTATGTATTTCATTATACAAATTAATCTAAAAAATTTTTTAATTAATTAATGTATTGAAATAAAGGGATGTCCAGTGCCTGAAAATAGTTTCTTAAAAGAAACTAAAGATCAAAATAAAAATATATATTCATTTGTAATCATTTTTCTTAAAAAAATCGCAAAACCAATTACTTAACAAAACTTGTAATTTTAGTTTATTTAATATAATTCACTTATCTATAAACAATTGCTATCCATGTTCAATCCGTTAAATCTTATTATTGTATAGTATTAATGTTAATTAATGAAAGAATATTTAATAAGAAGAATAAATTCTTTCAGAATATACTACATTTAATTAATTTCATGATTAGAAAATGACTTAAAAAAATTATATTATCATAGGCGTTAATTTATTGCCGAAATCACTGCTTTCAGAGAAAAAACCCTTAATTAAGTAATCGATTAATTTCAACCCTGCAACGGTCGAGAATCTCCAGATTCAATGAAACACCGAAATAGGCATCTCGGATGGATGTTATGCAAACTGACGAGAAATAACTTTCCACGTTAAAAATCATTAGTCTCCATCGGTACAAATTACAACATTCGTTTATATGTCTAATCTACTATTTGATGCCTCGAGTCTCGTTTATCGTACTTATGAACATGAAAATAACGCAGTATTTGCATTAACTTTTAATGATTTAACATATTTAATATGAAACATAATTTAAGAATTCGGAAAGAATTAATAAATATTTAATATTTTATATGAAGTACTTCCCGAATTAACAATCTTTTGGTAACAAAAAAATTTTAAAACTTCCCAAAACGTTTATTAAATGCGCCGATCTTTGTCTTATTAATTGCATCCGATAATAAACATTATTTACAATTATTATTACAAATACAATACATAACCTTTATAAAAATATATAATATTTTATATTGTCTCTAAGAATTGATTTAAAATTAATAATATAATTTTTAAGTTGTTATTATTATTAAAAATAACAAATGCAATTATATATTATTATTATATTTTATATAATAATTTAATACAATAATAAATAAAATATTTAATACAATAATAAATATACCGACATACTTATAATTATTATAATATATATAAGTTATTATTTTGTCTAATAGAATCTTTTCAACTCAAATTATTAACACTCCTATCTGATTGAATTTCTTATCCGTATTCCAGTCTATATTCCTATTTGCCCATATTTTTTCATATCCATTTATCTATTCGCATATTTCAAGTTAATAAACAAAAATCTTTAATTAAATTCGCGACGCGATATGCGATTTATTAAGGAAACCGATTTTTTGGTTAATTCAGCAAAATACATGAAATCTCCTCGAGCAATAAATCCGAATTTCAAATATAATCGCGCGCGATTAAAATGTAAATTAGATCTTTCTAATCTTGTACATACGTGAGAAAATAGAGGAATCAAACAAATAAATAAATAACAATTTTGTACATTATCTTATACTCCACATGATCAAAATTGACACTTATTCCTTCCATCATATTTATTTTATTCCTCCTTCTTTCTTCAGGCCAGATTGGACTTACCTTTCGTCATATCTGACCATATCTGACTGATCATATTTTAATTAAAAATCGATAAGACAAAGATACCTCCTTGCTGTCAAATTATTATCGCCGACAAATAATATTACGTTTGATTCGTGTATAGTACATACGCGAGAAGATCGTATCGAAAAATTTAAACTAATGAAAAATTATTTAAAGAGAATATTAATAATAACCGTAAAAATTGTACTGAAGATATATTCACAAATTTCATTACTTGCATGAGAATTTTGATCGAATATTTCTCCACGACACGCGTTGTTTAAACTTGGAATTTTATTTAAGTTAAAAAGACTTTATTTGTCGTATTGTATATTGATATGTATATTGATATTTCCGTTCTAAACAAAAAAACTTTACATATTTCGTGAAAAATTGAAATTTATAATGTTAGTAATATTTTAATGATTAAAAATCGGTAAATAATAAAGTTATAGAGAATTTGAAGATGCAGCAGAACAAAGATATAATGCATGTTTATATGATAAGCACCTTCAAAGCAAAGTAAAATACACAAAACAAAATAAATAGCATGAAATTCGAAAGAATTAAAAAAACATATAGTAATAATACAATATTATAATTAATTATCATGCTGTTACAAATAACGTATATAAATAATTATAAGATTACCGATATAGATATATTTTTCATTTTATATTCAGATTACTTTTAATATAACATTTGATATAAATTAAATTGTAAAATAAATTACATATAAAATCATAATTATGAATAGAGAGAACTGTTGAATGAAATCGGTGAATCAAGATGTTATTCATATTTCTAGTTTATTAAAATACATATTCTAAAATATGATAGCTTAAAATTATATATAAGATAAGGAGAAATGAATCACAATTAAGTATACTATTATACGTATTAGATTAATGACTAATAATACATTCAAATAAACGTACTATTATTTATTGTGTGTGTGTGATCTGCAGTTACATATAACATATTAAATTTTAAGTAATTGATCAAACCATGAATAGAAAATGTTAATAAAATTATTGACAGAATAACGGAAAGAAAGAGTAATTTAGAAAGAGTAATTTGATCACCAAATTGCTTTTTAAATCTCTTTAAAAGTAATTATCAAAGCATGAAAAAATAAGAAACAATTGATGTGAACAAACGAACGAATTATCATTTCCGATTCATAAGTGACCAGGACAAATATTGATGATATTCATGATACAAGATTCTAATTTAGATAACTCCTATTTTTTTTCTCGTAAACTATTTCCTAGCTAATAATTCAACAACTTTAAAAATGTTAAATCATCAACTGATATTGAAATTATTGATATACGGAATCCGGGAAAATTCAGATTTAATGCATGCAACAAGGATCCTTCACTTTCAACGAAGCGATAGAAACTGCATGTCACAATAAAAATCATTACGAAACCCAATTTCCTCAAATTTTCCTTTTATCAATGTATTATTAGATGTTAGCAAAAGTAACTTTAAAAATCCGAATTCACATAAAATAAAATATTATATTGAATTAATTAATTTCTCTTCCATATGATATTTAAATACTTCACATACGTAATTTTACAAAAATGTTTCTTCTTAATTGCGTCTTTATTCATAAGATATATAAATTATGCTAAATCTTTATTTTACAATTATCCACAATCTCCATTATTAGAATTTCGCAATTTGTGGCAAAGAGATTTCTCATGATGCTCCTACAAGTTTCCCTTTGATCATCCTTTTGCAGAAAAAACTCTTTCCTTCACTTTCATCAATTTCTCATTGCATAAATTTTCATCTCGCGAATCACTATATATCCTTGTTGCAAATTCTTCATGAAAAGTGCAAACAATAGTGCAATTGCACGACACACAAGTAACTGATGATTTGCTAAGATCGACGCGGCGGATACGGGACCGACAGCAAGATCGTTGGGAATATATTTATTAATTTTAATTTTATTTATTATTTTTTTATTCCAGCATTATTCATTTTTCCTCTTTCCCAATGCGTCAGGACTCTACTCCTAATACTTCTTCTACAACCTTTCCCTTTGATTTTCCTTCTACAATAATTGTAGACACGAAATATATTGTTGTGTAGTTAACATTCACTTCTTTAGAAGACGATAGTGCGCGGCAGCATTTTGCAGTTACAGATTGGGCCGTCATGTCTTCTCTCAGGTTTCTCTCTGATTGCAGATACTGACGAGATACGAATTTGATTTGGCTACTGACATCTCGTCGGTGATTTGGCTCTGATAATCGGTACTGCGACCTTATCGATCGAGGAGACTGAGAAATTCTCAGTCGCGCCACTGAAGGAATCCGAGATCCGAGTTCCGCAAAATGGCGGGTGCCATAGTGCGTTGTTTTCAGATTCCGAGGAGACAATTGGGTGAGTTTTAGGTCCACCTTATTATTGTGGCTACGAACTTTCTTAAATTGCGAATAAACCATTCGCGACGAAATGGCAAAGCAAACATTATCCCACACGTCTTCGAAAAACAGTTTCTCTTCGCTGCAATGAATCTACGAGGTTATGTAATTAAATAAATTGCATATATTTAAAGGTCTCCTCGGATCGAGTTTGAGCAGTCAGCAACAGAGAACACTCGCCGATGCTCCGGAAGGAAAGGTGAGGATGTTTCTCAACAATCTCAACATCTGTTCATATCTTAGCATCTTTCCTTCTCGTTTATCACAAAGCTTTGACATCTTCATCTGCTTTAAGTACAGTTAAAACAAACAAGATCATAAGGGCTATGTTGAGTAAAAAGAAAGCAACTTAATAACTGTTGTAAAAGTCTTATTAAAATTGGATTATACATTTAAATCTAATGAAGAAATAAAAGCAAGAACGATATTAAAAAATCTTATGATAGTTGTAATCAGAATTGTGTTGTATATTTCGAAATTATGTTTCTGTGAAATTTTTACGTATGGTTAAGTTTATAAATCTTTTTTTTGTAGACAATACAAATAATGTAAAACATTTAAATTATTATAAATTGGATAACGCAGTATAGAAAAGAATAATTAAATTTTATGATTATTAATATATCTGATTTCAATATTTTTTTATAAATAAAAATGTAAAAATAAGTGAGACAGAAACTCTAGTACAATCTAGTGTAATACCAAAGAATATAGGCTTAGATAATCCATAGATTGTTTACATAAATGATACATGGAACAGTTTACATAGTTTACATTATATACACATAGATGTACATTATATTTTGTGCATAAACGTATAATTCTGATTCTAGGTGCTTTTTTTGCTGAGCACAGCCAATAAATTTCTGTATTGTTAGTGTTTTTCTTTGTTTTTTTTTTTTTTTTAGAAACAAGGAGGTCCCCTGGCTGATGAGGACCGTATCTTTACGAATCTGTATGGCAGACATGACTGGCGGTTGAAGGGTGCCATGAGTCGTGGCGATTGGTATAAAACCAAGGAAATAATAGATAAGGGCGCCGATTGGATCATCAATGAGATTAAAATTTCCGGTCTGAGAGGCCGTGGTGGAGCCGGCTTTCCCTCTGGGATGAAATGGTCTTTTATGAACAAACCATCTGATGGTCGGCCCAAGTACCTGGTGATCAATGGCGACGAGGGCGAGCCAGGGACGTGCAAGGATCGTGAAATACTACGCCATGATCCACACAAACTTGTGGAAGGTTGCCTAATCGCTGGTCGCGCTATGGGAGCTTGCGCCGCTTACATCTACATACGCGGTGAATTTTACAATGAAGCGTCCAACATGCAAGTTGCTATAGCAGAGGCTTATCAGGCCGGTTTAATCGGAAAGAACGCTTGCAACTCTGGCTACAATTTCGACATCTTTGTGCAACGAGGAGCAGGTGCATATATCTGTGGTGAGGAGACCGCTCTTATAGAATCTATGGAGGGGAAACAGGGAAAACCGAGACTAAAACCACCATTCCCAGCTGACGTTGGCGTGTTTGGATGTCCCACAACCGTCACTAACGTTGAAACCGTAGCAGTGGCACCTGTAGGTGTTACTAATATAATATATTTTTTCTCCTATATTTTATTTTGTAAGGTTAAAAAGATTACAATATAGAAGCAATTAAAAAATTTAAAATTAATAAAATGTATATTTAATTAATTTTATTAAATATATGTACATTTTATTAATTTTATTAATTTATATAAATTTATATAGAAATTATTTAAAAAGCATTAAAGATTCGGTGTTGTATTTATTTCTTATTGAAAATATTTACATAGACAATCTGTCGCCGAGGTGGAGCATGGTTTGCCTCATTTGGACGTCCACGCAATCATGGAACCAAGCTCTATAACATTTCTGGGCATGTGAACAATCCATGTACCGTCGAAGAAGAAATGTCCATTCCTCTGAAAGAACTGATCGAGAGGCACGCGGGAGGTGTAATTGGAGGATGGGATAATTTGTTAGGTGTTATTCCTGGTGGTTCTTCAACTCCCGTCATTCCTAAGAGGTAAATAAAGAGATGTCGTCCAACAATTCGATTTCATTCCGAAAGTCATAGTCAAAAATTTTAGCGCGTGTGACACCGTTTTGCTGGACTTTGATGATCTCATCAGAGTACAGAGTTCGTTCGGCACAGCCGCAGTAATCGTAATGAATAAACAGACGGACATAATCAAGGCCATCACTCGTTTGATAAGTTTCTATAAACACGAATCCTGCGGTCAGTGTACGCCTTGTCGCGAGGGTATCAGTTGGATGTATAAAATACTAAAAAGGTAAGAATTAATTTATCTCTATGTATGTAAAAAATTATTATCCGGTAATACTTTTGAGATTCTTTATGGGTACTTTTTACATAGGTAGCTATGTGTTTCGTGAATTATCTTCGTGCATCCATTTTTGGAATGCCAATGTTTGATAAATTGCAATGTTCATGAAACATTGTTTCTATATTATTATTTGGTTTCATAATAATTTTTTTCGCAGATTTGTAGAAGGTAACGCCGAGGTACACGAGATAGACATGCTATGGGAGCTTACGAAACAAATAGAACTGCACACGATATGCGCTTTAGCGGACGGTGCTGCGTGGCCTGTACAAGGTTTGATCAGGCATTTTAGGCCGGAAATCGAAGCACGTATGAACGAACAGAAAAGAGCGACATTGAAAAGTTGAGATAAAACTGGAAATTAGAGAGAATATAACGGGACGAGATATATAGAACAATCCCTGTAAAATTTTATATTTATTTTCAGTGTATATAAATGAATATAAACGCGATAGTCACAATTCCTCTGTAATAATGTTTTTTCGAACCCGGACATCCATCCTGGAAGTTCGAATAATAAAGGAAAGAAAAACTTTATAAACGTGCAGAATTTTAAATGTTCCTTAAAAAGATCGCGCGTTAAACAAAATTAAATCGAAACTTTCATAATGTTTAACGTTTATGAAGAAAAGCAAAATCAGCGAGGCAAAGTGCTTTGAAGCGAAAATTTGTTTAACAACGGCCATTCACCGGAAATTAGAAGACATAATTGTATGTGGAGTACGAAAGAAAAATCGATAAAATTAAAATTGGTTCAATATGATAGACTTCTATTATATTAAAGAATTTATAAGTTTTACATGTGTGTGTTATACGTGGATCGCAAGCGATCCTATCTTATCTTTTCAAAAATAACACTTTGGAAAAGATGGCGACATGAAAATATGCAACATTGTGAGATTTTCAGAAAAGTAAACGACATCGAAGAGAAAGGATCGTGTACATGACAAAATATAAGAAAATTCGATTTATATCCTCGAATATTGGCTGAGTTTGCTTAGAGCCATGTAAGACTAACATTTACCTCCCACGTTTTCTTATGTAAATAGTACGCTCTCAGTTACGTGGTTTTCGTAGAAATTGTTATACATTGCGGGCTCTCGAAGAGCTCGTGAATTATAGTAACGATAACGACATCGACGATGTATTACGCGAAATAAATGACATAGTTATTCAATGGAATATTTTTGCCGAACGTCACGGCGTTCGGAATGAAACGAGTGTCGAACCTTTTGTTCATGAATCATGCATACGATTCAAATAACGTCGTGCTACTTGCGAGCTCAAAGTGAAACATAAGACTGGGAAGACGAGAATATTCGCTGCAGTTTTATCGAACGATACTTTGCATTTATTCGTTCATCATACAAGAGAATTCGCTAGCACTAAATGTTCCGCCGGCTACAGTACGGATAATGATGTGACTTTAGATATACGGTACAATGTGCGTATACAATACATATATACAAAAAGCACGTTCGCTCGTTCCGCAGATCAGTTGCGTCTGCTCTCCCTGTCGTTCTCTCGCACGCTCTTTCGTTTTCTGCCGCTCTCTCGTTCCCTTCTCTCTCTCTTAGCGCCACTAAAGTCGGAACTGTCTTTTTCGCGGTTTCTCGAATTATCGTTAGTTACTTAAATAATTAAATAATAGATTTAAGCTAGTCGTTACATTTTCGGGATAGTTCGCCGTAAGAAGCAAGCTGTCCCGGTTGTGTTAGTAAGCGCACACACTGTCTTTTATAATAGGTCCGTTGTGTTACCTCCATTCTCTTATTTTCATCTGTGTACATATATTTATATTATATTATCTATACCAAATCCACATTTCATTCCGTTGCGCATCCAATATTACATTCCTCTTTATTCTCGCTTCTCCTTTATTCTTTTCTCGCGGGCAGTGATGGCAGGATCGATTCATTCCAAGTGCTCGCTCCAGATTGAAAAATATCTAGGCATTATACTAACAACGCACATTTTTCTCGAACATTTTTAGGCACTAACATATCGCATAGTATTATATAGCATTCAGCGTTAAGCCTTAAGTACTTTCGAAAAAGCATAATTCTTTCAGTGGTCATATCTTGATCCTATCGAGTATCCAGATTTTTTAAAAAGGATTTATCAAGTTAATATTATAGTTCGCCAACTTGAAAAGCAGTCGTTCCTAAGGCTCTCACGCTCTCGTTTCTAAAATAGGAAGCTATTCTAAAGATATACTTAGCAAATACACAATTTCCAACCGTACTAAATGTAAATTAACAGCATATACGTCGCGACAATATGAACTTAATTTAATTAAAATATATAAAATATCGTTGATAGCATATCGTAGCATAATAATCGTAGCACTTGTGTCGTCGGAAATCATCCCCTCGGCAAACACCCAGACACGATCGCACATAAATTGGCCCCGTTAGAAAAAGACATGTATGTTAGATTATGACGTTAAGAGTCAAAAAGTCGCTAATTTCATCGGAAGGCATAGTAATCTGATGCATCCGTCGCGTCTGTAATTTCGCCCAATCGTTTCTGGATCACTTCCCATCACTGCTCACGATGACTTAACGGTCTCTCAACGCTAAAATACAGGCTCTGCAGCCCGCGTCACACGCGAAGCGTGTTTTTGTTACTCGGCCGTCGCTGTCCGCCGCTTTTGTGTTCATGTTTGTGCCGCGTGTTATCGTACCGAATGACGCAAAACAGGCTCCGTATGCGTGTATGAGGACTTCTTCGACATTGCACAGAACAAGCGCGTGTGCAGCACAATCGTTTGGAAATAAAAAGTTCACGAAATAGCAACAACAATAGTTGCCATCCATTTTGTGAGTGACTAAGTCTAAAGTCATATGAATTTTTTTTTATTTATAATAATGATGTTACTATTTGGTCACTCGGGGGGGGGGGGAGGGAGGATGTGACAAAGTTATCTCAAAGTTAACAATACAAGTTTATAATATATCTTACTTTTAATATGAATTAACAAAACTCACATGTCTGTTTCTATCTGTGCAGTATAATTTTAATCTTGGTTTAACTAACTCTTCATCTTTTTCTAATTCTTGGAATTAAAAAAAAAGATGAAGAATAAGTTCAGTTGAGATTAAAGTTGACCAACGTTGATAAAAATGGATATCAGTAAAGCATACAGTCTCGAGCTTGATTGTAGATTGTAGGCAAAAAACTCAGTTGAACATCACTTTTTTTTTAGAACGAAAAGGAACGCGCATTCAACTAAGTTATGACGTTACAAATGAAATTATCTGAGTTTTGATGTAAATGGAAACTAATTTCTGCGATAACGAATGGAATAACGGCGGACAGGGACAGCTTGCAACTTGGAAGCTGATGGAAGTTGAAAACTCGCACGCTTCGCGTACCTTTCGCAGCCTCTCGAAGACGTACGGAGACGAGAGAACGCGACGACTCGTAATAAAATAAAATTGTAGCACGTTTTGCTCTCGCATTTTTCACTCTCGCTCCTCGGATTGTACTTGTTGCGAAACACCTTGCACACAGAAAAATACTTACTGTACAAGCTAGTAATAATTATTTGTATTTCAAGTATTTCAAATATTCATATAATATATCCGTAAATCTATCATAGTTCATCACAAGCGTCAAATTTATTCAAAATATATTCTGAGTTCTATTAAGTTTAATATTAATCAAGATTATTAAATTAAAATAAATTCAATTTGCTTATTGTACAGTTACTTCTTCTGAATTTTATAATATTCTTCAAATGAAGATAAATTTTTGTTTCGACTATATGATACTGAGTTTTTCTGAATTTATAAATATATTTTAAGATTATTATCAAGAAAATATTCTTTGTTAAAGATATAACCATTGCTTAAAAGGAAGAAATTGCGTGTATCATCACTTTTTTTAACAACAGAGTGATATTTTTCTGTGTGTGTTCTCCCCTTCGACCTGACCGCGCAGTAGGGTCACGCTCATCTCGAGATATCCCGTCGACCTCGAGAAAAGGTACGTATATGCACGATATGATTGAAAGCTCGCTGGTCACATGCTCTTTGGCATGATCATTGGCTGTCTTCCGGCAAGATCACGCTTATTGTTGGAGAAATCTACCGCTGGACTCACGCCACCGCGTATGGGTTCTCCACTTTAAATATCTACCATAAAAATAGATGCACCTCTATCGCAGTTTCGTACGTCAGCCCCCTACCTATGCCACTTTGGAGGATACGATTCTAACTCCTTCTATTCCTCCTCTTTCTCCCGTTCTGAATTCAAGGAGTCTATTCTCGAAATCGTGCAAAAGCGTTTCGCGCACGTGTGAATGGAAATCGAACCACTCTTCAATGAGAACGTGGTCTCATCGTTATAGGAAATAATGCCAATTACCATACGTGGTATCCATAGTTTCGAGAATCGCACTCGATATCCTACATAGAACTTAGCGAACTTGGCGCGTTAGGAGACTGACGAGTAATTTCCCGTTTCTACCAATGCAGATTAACTTTAATCTCGGAGCAACTTATTCTTCATTTTTTTCTAATTCTTAGAACTAGAAAAAGTGAAGAATTGAAAAGTTAATTAAATCGAAATTAAAATTGAACTACAGTAATAGAAACGGACATAATAGAGAGCCGGCAAAATAAATTTTTCACATGTGTGGAATAGACAACGGGCGAGAGGATCTGATTAGAGCTAAATTTAAATATTGTAATAATAGATTTATATATATATAT